GGACTGGGGGCTGAATAAAGGTGCACTTGTCTGTTGTCTGCCTTAGAGCCCCAGCTCTCAGTCAGTAACCCAGGAGTCCTAATGAGTCTCAGCTTCTGTGATCAGGGCTGCTGCTCCTCCAGCCATGCAGGTCCCTCTCCCTGCTTCACATAAATTTCATTAGTCTTGATTTTTCTTTTTTTCAATATAGGGTCTCACTCTGTTGCCCAGGCTGAAGTGCCATGGTGTGACTGTAGCTCACGGCAACCTTGATCTTTTGGTTTCATGCGATCCTCCTGCCTCAGCCTCCTGAGTAGCTGGGACCACAGGCGGGCCCCGCCATGTTTGGATAATTTTTAAAGCATATTTTGTAGAGACAGGATCTCCCTATGCTGCCCAGGCTGGTCTCGAACTCTTAGGCTCAGGCGATCTTCCCGCCTCAGCCTCCCAAAGTGCTGAGATTGCAGGTGTGAGCCACTGTGCCCAGCCTTGATTTTTTTTTTTTTTAAGTGGAAACTTAATCTTTCTCCTGAAGATTCTCAGAGACTAACGATGAAAGATTTTCATCGCAAACTTACTACCCGTTATTAACAAGTAAAGCCTATCCTCCTGACACATGGTTGGTGTCAGTCTGGCATTAGGTCACCCTTCTTGTCCTGCCTCTCCCAACAATGGAAGTGGAATTCAGGTGTGGACACTTGCTGTGTTGAAGGAAAGAGGTGGAATAGCCAAATCACCGTATGACTCAGTCTCTACTACAAAAACCCTCTAAAAGGCTCAATCATGTTACAAAGACATTCGTCCACATGCATGTCAGGACCCTTGGAGCTATTCTACCCTGAAGACTAGAGCAGAGGAACTCAAGGTGAAGAATTCAGTGGACATTTCCCATTGAAGGATCATCAGCAATAAAAAGGAAGAGCCTCTGAAAAACTAACAGGAGTCATTTGAAAAGTATGATGCTATTTTAAAAAAATCTATCTGTAACATCATTTCTTGAACATATTGCAAGAAAAAAAGCTATGCTTTCAGTGTGAAGATAGATGGGAGGTGGTACGGGGGAAAAGAAACAGCGTTTCTTGACGATCTTTTGTGAGCGAGGTTGCATGCTACGTCTCTTCCTCATTTTATCTCATCTACTCTCCCAAATAACCCTGTGAGATGTATTATTTCCCCCATTTTACAGATCGGGAAACTCAGGGGAAACCTCGTTCTGGACTATTTTGTCTCATTTTCTGCATATAACTCTGGAAAAACAGCTTATTCCCAGCTAGTACAAAGTTTCTCTAATTCATATTCCCTGGCAATTTGAAATAGAAGCAAAGCTGCCCATTGAATGATTTTCTACTTCAAAAAACACACTGTTTTTGTTAGAGTTTCAGTTGTATTAATTCCTCAGCATGCAAAGACAGTAAGTGGCCTAAAAGTACAGGTCAGGTGCATTCAGCCATGTCGTCAGACCTGCTAAGCACAGGTTCCGTGGCTCCTGCATTAGCACCAGTTGGTTAGCTAGGCTGAGCTGAGTCTGTGGACTGAAAGGTAAGAAGGCTCACCTGCCTGCAGGAAACACCCTGGGCTGAAGATTTTTCACTCACTTGGGTTGCTCCCAAAGTGGTTCAGATTAATGAGGTTTGCCTACACCTTGTCCCTCTGATATAAAATAAGGTTGCTGATATAATACCACAAAGTATGATGCAGGAAGGTAGACTTAGAAATTGTTTTGTCTAGGGGCTGGGTGCGATGGCTCATGCCTGTAACCTCAGCACCTTGGGAGGCTGAGGTGGACGGATCACTTGAGGTCCAGGGGTTGGAGACCAACCTGGCCAACATGGTGAAACCCTGTCTCTACTAAAAATACAAAAAAAAAAAAAAATAGCTGGGCATAGTGGCAGGCACCTGTAATCCCACCTACTTGGGAAGCTGAGGCAGGAGAATTGTTTAAGCCCAGGAGGTGGAGGTTGCAGTGAGCTGAGATCGTGCCACCGCACTCCAGCCTGGGTGGCAGAGTGAGACTCAATCTCAAAAATAAAAAATAAATTGTTTTGTCTGGGGATGCCAAAAAGTGGCAGGAATGCTATCATTCTTCTTGCCTCCTCAGCAGACATCAGTAATCCACTGCAGCATACTCTTTCCTGGATATGCCTCGACACACTTCTCAGCATAGTGCCCCTGGCAGCCATGACCAATTGATCCCCTCATGCCATCCGTCTTCCCACCCAAGTTGGAAGTGAGGCTGTGGCCACCTGGCAGATGTCAGGGGGGTTGATGGGCAAAGGAATCTAGAATAGTTTTAGATCCTCTAGTCTCAGGGGCTGTGTTTGTTCATATACAATTTTGGCTTACATTACAATCCTGCTATCCACTAGGGTCTGGGTGAGATGGGGTGAGGGAGCCAAAGGCAGGCCACTAAGCAAGCTCATTCTGTAACTCCAGGTCTACCACTCACGTAAGAAACGTAACCCTGACAAGTGTTTCAGGCGAATGCAATTTTTATCTGAAATATGCTCCAAATCCTGGGGTGGTGGGGAGTGCCTTTTGCAAAGTGAATCATCACTATGGGAATCTGGCGACACGCTGTTTGTCTTCCAGCCATGGAGACAGCCAGACCTCACTGGGGAAGGAACAGGGAACTGTGGGACTTGAGACCACACTACCCAAGCTGGGATCTTAAATGATTCTCCATCTGTATCAATGGAATCTTTCTTTTGTGCTGGTGTTTCTCAGTCTTCACGACTACTTCTCGGAGGGAAGAAGGATAGTAAGGGTGTCCCCATTCATTGGGAAAAAGCGGTGTTCTGAGAGGTCACACCACTCTCCAGGAGGCCCACAGCTAGGAATAAATAGCAGAGCCGCCTCTGCTGTCAACCAGGAGGGACCAGAGGGAGCCAGGAGGAAAAACAGTGCCACCCTGACAGCCTTCCACAGCATCTCCAGCTTAGAGGATGTACTAACCGGGAGGGATTGCTTCCTCGACCCTGCCCTGCAGCTATGCCAGGGCTTCTGACTCCCAGCCCAGTGCTCTGTCCTCCAACCTACACTGCTTTTTCCTGTCCCATTATTGGGCCTTAACCTGGGTTCACGTCTAGAATAAGAATAAGGACTAATATTTATTGAGACTTATTATGTCCCAGCATGAGAGCCTGACAGCTTCATGTGAATTAACTCATTAAATCCTCCCAACCACTCTGTGAGGTAGGAACTATCACTATCCCCATCTTCGGAGGAGACTGACGCATGAGGCCCCACAGCTAGTGGAAGGGCTGGGATGGGAACCTGGCATTCTGACTCCAGGGGCCATGCTCTGAACCACAGACATCGCCTCCTTGGGCCGCCTCCTCATCACTATATTTGACAGTCATTTACTGAGCACCTACTACATGCCAGGTTCTGTGAATGCAAGCACACAGCACCTGTCCTTAAAACTCAACTCCTGCTTAAAGACTTGCCAAGAACGTGCCAAGTCACAGTTCAGTCCTCTCCTCTCCCTCCTTTCCCCAGCCCCCCGACAGCAAACAGAGATCAGCTGAATATACAGCCTGTGCACAACCACTGTCAAACTCGATTCTCATCCAGGCTGTCAGTTTCTTAAAGAAAAACACCATCTCTGGCCTCCCACAGAGCCCTGCCCTCAGGGGCCCTTGATAAATATTTACTGTTGCAGCTGACCCAGACCCCAGGGGAAGAAGACCCAGTTACAAAGCACAAAGGAACCCGCGTGCTCATTATTCAGACCCTCCCAAGCGCAATGGGTGTCCCTCTGCGTAACTTCCCCATTTGTGTCTGGAGTGCAATTTTTCTCACGCTCAGTGGGCCAGGTTTTGGCCACTGGAGCATGTGGTATTGCCCCTGCCCAAGGGCCCATGGTTCCAGGTGAGGCCAAGCCACCTGCCTGGGCCACACCCACTTTTGCCTTCTCTGGGGCCCTGGGGAGTAGGGGGTGGGTGGGTCTTGCCACCTGTTCCCCCGTGCCTTTTCCTCTTGTCTATGTGGTCTGGATCTTGGGCCGAGTCCCTTGATGGTATGACTAGCCAGTAACTCTTCTGGTGGTCGGGCATGAGAGAGGCTCCCGCAACACTGTCATCATGCTTTGAGAGTTGCCCCCACACCACATACAGCAGGGGTTTGGGCTCATGCCTATGATATGTGCGTTGTCTGGCATTAGCTCAGGTACAGCCAGCCAATGGGCAACAACGGAGGAGGGACCCGAGGGTCATCTCATCTGGTGGCTTCCAAACAGTTTTATAGCAGAACCTGCACCTAAAACGGAGGCAGTACTGAGCATTTGCAGGCACGAGTTCAAAAGCTTCCCTCATTCAGACTTTCCTTACACCCTCTCCCTCCTCCCACTGCCTGTCCCTCACAGCAGTCTTGATCACCAGGGAACAGGGTCTGTAAACATCGCACTTTCCCCTTTGACATGTCCCACAGACATTTCTCCAGCCTCTGCTTGAATTCTGCCAGCGACAGGGAACTCACTCTACTCCCCAGGTTTCCTATTGCACTCTCGCATAGCTCTTCTGTTAGGAATGTTTCCTTAGGTGGAGTCAACAGCTGCCCACCTCTGTCCTGCTCATGACAGTCCTTCAAATGTGCAAAGGTGGCTTTCCTGCCTCACTTCAGCACTGTCTCTTCAGGGCCATGGTTTCCCAGCTGGTGTGAGCCAGGTAGCTCCCTCTCTGTCCTAAGACTATTTCCCTAGCCCTGGCTAGAGGTTTGCTGGAAACACTTCTGAGCACACGCCCTCTGGATGGTGAGTTTGGGCTGCCGTCATCAGAGCAGAGGGAGGACAGCCCAGCTACCTGCAGGCTCCAGCGCTCCTGGGGAGGGACTGGCAGGAACCCAGTGGATTCCAAGGGACTCACACCTAGATTCTCGGCTCTGTGCTGTTTCCAGGTACATGTGCATGGAAATACAGTCTCAGAGCTGCCAGAGCTCAGCTGCCCCTGCCCCTCCCATCCCTCTCCTTCCCCTTGTTGAAATCCAGCCTAGGCCCCACGACTGCCAAACGCGACAGTACTCACCGGTCCCGTGTTGCTCACATCCTGGGAATCTTTTTACTCCAAGAGCAGTCAGTACGTCCAGACCTACAGGGGACAGAAACTCACTATCAAAAGCAGGGCAGAGCAATTGGGTGTCCATCTCTTTTCCAGCAGGATGGAGTCAATGGGGGACTGGGATGGAGGTGGGGAAGATGAATGAAAAGGAAATGGTGAGGACTGAGCCGCTCATTAAACCAACCTCAAAATCTCTGGGCTTTGTGGTGATTCTGAGAAAGAAAAAAAGAAAAAAAGAAAAAAAGAAAAAAAAGACCCCAGCCCTGGATGAGTCAGCAGCTTGTGGAGAAGCAGGCTTTCTAGAAGAGCGAAGTGAAAGGCAAAATCGGCGGGTGAAGGGGTGAGGGAGGCCTCTCTTTAACCTCACTCAGAGCCTCCTTGAGTCTTCCTGGCAGCGGCCCTTCATGGTTGCATTTTGGTGAGGGCGAAGGGGGAAAGCTCTGTGCTCAGGCCTCAAGTCGAAAAGATACTGCAGTCCTTAAAACAAAAGCCCCCAAAGCGTATTTATATCCTGGGAGACTCCTGCCAAGCGAACCCCGTGTGCTTTGAAAATTCCTCGGGAGAGCTGTAGCTGGAAGAAAAAGGCATGTGCCCGGTTCTGAGGATGTGTTCACAGCACGGCAAGTTGGGGCCTGAGCCCTAGAGGTTTAAGCACACAGGGCAGAGGCCACCACATGTGCACGGAGCAGCCACTGAGCCAGGGAGCTGCCGCGGAGGGCACACCATTCTCACTCCCCACACCCAGCCCGTCTTGAAAGCCAAACTTGTTTTTTCTTGTTTCCCTGAGAATTCTGAGGTGGGCAGAGCTTTATCTTTCCATCCATTCCTGTTTTCAAAGGAGAACCTTTTGGCTGGGGGAAAGAAAACTTTCAGGTGGCAGATTCTGTTGACTGAGTACTTACCATGCGCCAGGTCCCTCACACACCTGATCTGGGGTATTGCTATTCAACCGTGCAATCGCACTGGCTGGGAGCTTGCTGCACACGCAGAGTCCCAGGCCCCACCAAGCCCTATGGTCTGAGAGCAGCCTGCATTTTAACAAGACCTTCAGGTGACTCCTGGGCAGGTTAAAGTCTGCAAAGTGCTGGTGTATCATTCTCTTAATCATGGAAGGAAGGAAGTTGCAGCCCATTCTCCACGTGGGGAAACCAGCTCCAAAAGTGACAACTTGGCCTCCATGACTGTGGACCTGGTGAGTGGTCGGGCTAATCCAAAGCCACGTTCATATGGTTCCAGAGCCTGTGTTCCTTTCCACTGCGCTATCTGGGGGAAGGAGTAGTCAGACCTGGCTTTGTGGGAGTGGCTAAGGGAGGGGTCCTAGCCACCGGTGTTGGGTGACTGGAGTCCTGGAGGTGAGTGGTGGCCTCGGGGTATCGGGCAGAGCACTCAGGGAAGGAGACAGAGAATACTGGCCACAGGCTTCCCTCCTCCTCAGTTTTGTCAAAGGCCAGCAAAATTCCCCAGCTGAAAGTTCTGGGCCTCCTTCCTGCGGGGGAATTCAAGCTTCTGCAGTTAATCCCAGTGATTAATTTACTTTGATTCCAAGAAGTTGAGGGCTTTTGTCCACTGCCCTTTAGAACTAACCATCCGGCGGGAGGAGGCACCCCAGGAGATAAGCTAACCTGAGCATTCCAGGCACTGACCTGCGAGAACAATACTCTCCAGAATCCTTCATAGCTTAGAAAGAGCTTTTTATCCACCAGCGAATCAGCTCCTTACTTTTTAAGGGGCATGTCACTAGCCCTATTTTGCAGCTGGGAAAACAGAGAGGTTAACTGACTTTCCTGAGGTCACACAGTTATCAGACAGGCTGGGGTGACTATCCTCTGACTCTGAGTCCGGAGGTACAACCAGTGTAGTCTAGCTGCTCCTTATGAGGAGGGGGCCATCACAGTGTAGATGTATGATACTCTAAATTAGCATCTCCCAACTCCATATGCTCTTGCTCCATGCTCTGGTTGTAAGGTGAATTTACCAAATAGATTCACAGACCAAGAGGAAAACAGTCCACAACCCATGCAGGGTGCAGGACCAGTACTTTTTTCAATGTAAACTAGACAGCTGGCATTATCGACTTAATGAGTCATGTGTTATATTAGACATCATTCGTTCTACTGCACTTACTTCCATAAGACAGTTCAGCTAAGTTAAGATACACAGTGGAATGATGTCCATAAAATGTGGAAGTAGTACTAGCTCTTAGGCAAATGTTCCCAGCACATTCATGTTCTGCATCACCAAGTAACAGCATCTGGATGCAAAGATCCCTGACACAGCTGAGTGTAGTAAGCCATAGATGACTCCATGCTATCCATGACACCCGCTCACTCCATGTTCTTCTTCTTGGCTCAGTGTGGCCATGTGCTGTCTTAGAAGAGTTTATTGCTCACTTCTCCCTTATATTTGTGCAAAGGCCATGTTAGACCACTCCTGTCTGATAGTTTTTTTTTTTTTTTTTTGAGACGAAGTCTCGCTCTGTCTCCAGGCTGTAGTGCAGTGGCGCGATCTTGGCTCACTGCAACCTCCGCCTCCCAGGTTCAAGCAATTCTCCTGCCTCAGCCTCCCGAGTAGCTAGTACTACAGGCATGCACTGCCATGCCCGGCTAATTTTTGTATTTTTAGAGAGATGGGGTTTCACCATGTTGACCAGGATGGTCTCGATCTCCGACTTCATGATCCGCTTGCCTCAGCCTCCCAAAGTACTGGAATTACAGGCATGAGCCACCGTGTCCGGCCCTCTCTGATATATTTTAGGAAAGCCTGCAACTGCTCTTATACCTGTAACTTCCGATGAAGATCTGTCCGCTCCTGCCTCCATAACTCGGTTGCCTCAAACCTTCTCTAGCCACTTGCCTTTAAGTTCCCCTTTTGGTTTGTAAAATATAGCCCTATGGTTACTCAGGTCCTAAAGTTACTAATGTATTTTTAATTCAAAATTTAGCACGTCATTTTAACTGTGCTATAATCATCACTAGGATTGTGGTTTGTTACAGAGTTGCATGAACTGAGTCGTGCGCTACACCCTTATTATCTCCCAAATCTCTGTGATTTTTGAATTTTTCAGAATGCAAGGATTTACAGAAATGCATATATCATTTAGTAGCAGAAATGCTTGCATAATGCAAGTTACATTATAGGTACCGATATGGTTAGGCTTTCTGTCCCCACCCAAATCTCATCTTGAATTGTAATCTCCACAATCCCCATGTGTCAAGGGAGAGACCAGGTGGAGGTAATTGAATCATGGGGGTGGTTTTCCCCAAGCTGTTCTCATGATAGTGAGTGAGTTCTCACGAGATCTGATGGTTTTATAAAGAGCTCTTCCCCCTTCGCTCGGCGCTTCTCCTTCCTGCCGCCTTGTGAAGACGGTGCCTTGCTTCCCCTTCCACCATGATTGTAAACTTCCTGAGGCCTCCCCAGCCATGCTGAACTGTGAGCCAATTAAACCTTCTTCCTTTATAAATGACTCAGTCTTAGGCAGTTCTTTATAGCAGTGTGAAAATGGACTGATACAGGTACTAATGTCAATATAGAACTTAAATATATTATATATAGCTATTAAACATTGAACATGTTAATATTTAGTATTGAGTATATTAAATATCTAACTAACAATAATTCATTGGGTATCCATATATATCTGATTCTGTGCTATGCACCAGATAGACATAAATAAAACCCGGTCCCTACTGTTAAGAAACTCGTGGCATAAAAAAGGAGAAAGACAAATAACAGACCGAGTGGGAGAAGGTACAATGTATAAAGAAGGGGTGTAAGACAGGGGCAGCTAACAGACTCCTCACCTGTGTCAGGACAAAGATCATGCTCCCCACCCCACGGCTTCTGCAGCCCTGCGAGGCTGGCGCCTGCTCATCTCTCCCCACTTCCCTCCCCTCCCCCATCCCCCCACTGTGTTCCTGGCTCACTGGCAGCTTCTCCTTTCTTGAACCCATCATGCTCCACAGCCACATAGCTAGCCATGCTAGTCCCTCTCTCAAATGATCTGCCTCACTCTTCCCCTAATTAATTAACGCCACCTTCCCCTGCAGGATTGAGGGAGGTGATACATATAAAGGGCTTAGAAGAGTGTGAGCAGGTGTTAGCTGTTCTTGTTATTGACAATACCTGTTATTATCCTTGACTAGGCAGAAACTGGAGTACACGGAGCAGAGTGACGTGGCTGGGGCTGCACAGTGAATTATTCTCAGAGCTGGGGACTCCCACTTAATCAGTTCTGTTTTCTCCCTTTATCCTTGAGCCCAGTGCTGCACCATCACCCCACTAGACCCCACTAGATCCTAAGCAGCATGGTGGAAGGAGCGCTAGTCTTGCAGGGCCGAGTCTGGTCCCACTTCTCGCATACGTGTTCTGTGTCCTTATGCCAATCAGTTCTCTTCCGGGACCTTGGTTTCCTTCTCAGCTGGGCAGGACTCTAACCAGAGCTGGCTCCTTGGGTTGTGGAGGGGAATCCAAGGCCACAGTGCATGCCGAGTGGAGCTTACGGTTCCTGCACTTGGAAGGCAGCGGCTCTCATTAGGAGTTAACCTGAATTGGGCTGGGCACGGTGGCTCACGCCTGTAATCCCAGCACTTTGGGAGACCGAGGCGGGCAGATTACCTGAGGTCAGGAGTTTGAGACCAGCCTGGCCAACATGGTGAAACCCCATCTCTACTAAAAAATAAAAAAAATAAAAATAAATTAGCTAGGCACAGTGGCAAGCACCTGTAAGTCCCAGCTACTCGGGAAGCTGAGGCAGAAGAATGGCGTGAACCCAGGAGGCGGAGCTTGCAGTGAGCCGAGGTTGCACCACTGTACTCCAGCCCAGGCAATGGAGTGAGACTCTGTCTCAAAAAAAAAAAAAAAAAAAAAAAAAAAAAACAGCCGGGCGTGGTGGCACACACCTGTAATCCCAGTTACTCAGGAGGCTGAGGCAGGAGAATTGCTTGAGCCTGGGAGACGAAGGCTGCAGTGAGCTGAGATTGTACCACTGCACTCCAGCCTAGCTGACCGAGTGAGATTCTGTCTCAAAA